GCAAGATTGTGAGCATAATGTTAGAGCCGAAAATGATCCTGAAACGTTTTCACAAGCCATGAGCTGTAAGGAATCTGACTTATGGTATAGTGCCATGAAAGATGAGATGGATTCGATGGCATCGAATGAAGTCTGGGATCTTGTCGAGTTGTCTAATGGTGTAAAAGCCATTGGTTGTAAATGGGTCTTCAAACCAAGAAAGACTCATTGGGCAACATCGAAAAATATAAAGCAAGACTCGTAGCCAAATGATTCACTCAGAAGGAAGGAGTCGATTACAAAGAGACTTTTTCTCCTGTATTAAAGAAAGATTCTTTTCGTGTGATCAAGACATTAGTTGTCCATTTTGATATGGATTTGCATCAAATGGATGTGAAAGCGACATTTCTCAATGGTGAACTGGAGGAAGAAGTTTACATGAAACAACCTGAAGGATTCTTCTCTAGTAATGGTGGATATTTGGTTTGCAAACTTAAGAAATCTATATATGGATTGAACAAACTTTCCGCCAGTGGTATTTGAAGTTTCATGGTGTCATTTCTTCATTTGGTTTTGAAGAAAATACCATGGATAATTGCATATACCAGAAGGTCAGTGGGAGTAAGATTTGTTTCTTTATTCTATATGTGGATGACATTTTACTTGTAACCAATTATAAAGGGTTGTTGTATGAGATGAAATCATTTCTCTCTAAGAATTTTGACATGAAGGATATGAATGAGGCATCTTATGTCGTCGGCATTAAGATCCATAGAGACAGATCTAGATGTATTCAAAGTTTGTCTCAGGAGACCTATATCAATAAAGTCTTGGAGAGGTTTCAGATGAAAGATTGTTCACCGAGTCCAGCATCTATTGTGAAGGGTGATAGGTTCAATTTGAACTAATGCCCGAAAAATGAGCTCGAATGGGAACAAATGAAGAACATTCCATATATGCTTCTACAGTTGGAAACCTTATGTATGCTAAGGTTTGCACAAGTCCTGACATTGCATTTGTCGTGGGAATGTTAGGGAGATATCAGAGTAATCTAGGTTTGGACCACTGGAAAGCTGCAAAGAAGATGATGAGGTACCTACAAGGTACGAAGGATCACATGCTTATGTATAGACGGACGAACAATTTAGATATCACCGGTTACTCAGATTCAGACTTTGCTGCCTGTGTTAACTCGCGTAAGTCAACATCTGGATATGTATTTATGCTTGCCAGTGGGGCTGTATCATGGACGAGTGGCAAACAAATATTGACCGCTACTTCCACTATGGAAGCTGAGTTCGTTCCATGTTTTGAGACAACGTTGCATGGTGTATGGTTGAAGATTTTCATATCTAAGCTTAGAATTGTGGATTCTATTGCGATGCCATTGAGATTATATTGTGATAATCCAGTTGTTGTCTTCATGGCTAAGAACAATAAGAGTGGAAGTCGGAGTAAGCACATCGACATCAAGTACTTCGCCATAAGAGAACGTGTTGCGAAAACAAAAGTGGTCATTAAACACATTAGCACAGAATTGATGATTGCAAATCCTCTGACTAAGGGTATGCAATTAAGAATTTCAGAGATCATGTTGTGAGTATGAGACTAAGTTCCATGATGTGATTATTTCACTTGTACGTATATTTATGTATTAACGAAACTCTTATTCAGTTGTGAATATATTTTACATGAAAATGTGTATACTATATTTGATATTGAAAAGACTCATACATTTGGACCTAGAATAAGCATAAAGCTTATTCATTAAGCTTGTGTTATCATATAAACTTTGAAGAGACATTATATACTGTAATACATGGAAGATAATACTCGTATTAAGAGGACTTGTCGTCATGATTCATATATTATGTTTCTTATTAAGAGTAATATATGGACCAAGGGGAGAATGTTCGAAATTATTTTATTAATTAATTTCCATAATGCAGGAAGTTTATTAACTTTCGTAAATAACTTAACCATTATGGTGATGGTCCAATATTTACTCCATGTTCTGCTAACTGTCTTTGATAACCACCTAATAACTGAAGTCTTTTTTTATGAAAAAAAAGACTATAAAGATCACGTATGGTATTGAGGTCCCTAAGCCTAGCAGATACTCATAATATACACCATCGTTATTGTGTTGCTCAAGGTTTAGAAGAATCAAATACTTAGATTTCATATCAATAACATAATCATCAATGGCTGGAGGTATGTTGTTTGATTCAGAATTTTATTTCCGCATTCATGATCTTGTATGTTAAAGTTTTGCATATAGAGATCATGATTTATATATTAGTTTAAATGAATTTTAAACTATCTACCCTTTTAACATGATGGTTAATTCTGAGGACTAGAGATTCCTTCAACACACTGATAGTCGCAAGGAGACAGATTTGGAAAGGTTATCAAGACTAATATAAATATTAGAGAAGGCGATATGTGATCACGATGATTAAGGTTGTTGATGAGTGCATTCAACGACCAGTTCCAGGGAGATGATTCTTGCTTAGTTGATTTTATGATTCTTGCTTCATGTTAGACTATGCTTGCTTAGTTGATTTGTCTATTGATTGCATAGTTGGACCCATGATTTTGTAGCCATTGATTGTTTGTTTCAACTGCTGTTTAAAATTATGTAATCTCTAAACCTTCCATGAGACTGGCTGCAAAATCTCAAACTTATATGGTAGTTATAAGTTGGTCTATGTGTCTTTAGATTTTAACCATGGTCATTGTAAATGTTTTAAGTCTGTTTTATCCCGAGTCGTGTGGTGGTCAAGTCTTTTCCTTTATTAGAGAGACCCTTTTGAGCAACTAGACAGGCAGTCAAGTTTTTTTCTTTATTAGTGTTTTGTGTATCCACTAGGATTAAAATTTTATTTCATACGCAAAAGGTTTAGAAGTGGAATACAGAGCATAAATCTTCACCCAAATTCATATTATATTTTTTACAGGACTATTTGGTTTTCATGTGATCTCCGTCATCACTCCCTGTGTCTTTGTGTTGATTTCTTAATAGGGAGAGTTATATATATAAACTCACCCAATTTGGCAAAAGAGAAAGGTTTTGCTTTTGTAACCAATGCAAGTGATTCTGTCTTCCATAACTTGGTTGATGATAATATATTGTGGAAAATATTTTTTTTATAACCTGGATGGTTCTCCGGGTTTTCAACCCAACTACATTCACTCTAGGCCTAGGATCAGCCTTTGTATATGGACCATTTTGGTCCAAAAATTATATCATTTCCCGCCGGTGGAATGGTGGGAAATGTTCTCTTTGTGTGTTTAAAAAAAAGAGAGATTCTTGAACACAAAGAGTGTTCGGACAAATAATGGATCCGATTATTAGCGGTGTAATATGTAATATCGCTGTGAACCAACTCCAACATGGCCAATTTTTTTCCGTAAGAAAGAAATTTATGCATTCGAAAAAAATTCAACGAGCCTAGACTTGGCCGGTGAGGAAGCTACAGGGAGTCGGCCGCATGGGCTACTGAATTCACGGCAGTGAAGGACCGAGTGCCTTGGATAATAAGGGTGTCGGGCGGAGAATATCGTCGCCAACGGTTTCTGTATCAGATTTTTTTTTTTAATTTAAAAAATGATCTTATTCATGTTAAAGTCCAATTACATGCATATTTTAAATCATACCAATTATTTCAGTTGTAAAATCTTTATTTTTTTAATAACTAAAATAAAAATTTCATAAATTCAGTTGGATATAAAATTGTATTTTGACGCATAACTTCGTTTAAATATTTTAAAAACACCTGTAATTCTATCATTTTTAAAATTTAGTAATTTTCAAATTCTTTAATAAGAATTCAGCCGTGTTTCATGTTTTGAAAAAAAAGAATCATCTTTACTGGATAAGAACATTTCAAGGTACAAAATGTTAAAAAATATTAAGAAAAAAGTCTACATAGATCCTCAAATTTATTTTCCGGTTAGTTTTACAATATGGAACATGGCTATAATATAATCTCCCCGTGCCATGCCATGACGACTCTTTTTGGTCAGGCTTTTTCCTTTCTGTGTTCTGAAGCCCCAGATTCACACAAGTGGAAATGGGTTTTCTGCCATTTAAATTTAAGTTTATTTTAATATTTAAGAAAGATAATGATGGAGATATGGATATATAAAATTAATATGACCAAAGTAAAAGTCATGTCAGAAGCCCATTTTTTGGTTTCTCCGAGGTCAAGCATGTGCGGGGGGAATTGAGTTGACCAGGTTCTTTTTATTATGCATCCAAATAAATAAATGAATATAAAGGTGCAATTTAAAACTAAATCGTACCATTTTTTTTACATTTTTATTACCAGAAAAATAGAGAAAGACAAAAGTTTTAAAAGTAAAATTAAAAAACGAATCATGTGCATAATGTTTGGTATTTCGGTTCACGTGAAAAATAAATTAAATGGAATCAAATCATACCTGATATATTTAAAATTAAATCTGATTTTGTTTAGCAAAATGCAGACATCAATGATTATAGTTGTTTGTGAACTAAGTTTTACTCTATTTTCTTTGTTTTTTTTTTACGATGAAGTGTGAATGGAGACCAAACATATTATTTGATGATGATGATGATGATGATGATGATGTTTCTATTTCAACAAATTTATTTCTAAATAAATAAAAAATATTTACATTCTTTTTGTAATTTATTAATAAGTAAACTAATTATAAAAATCAATATTTGAATTATTAACTTGTGTTTCTTTCGTTCGGAAGATAATATAAAAACATTTTCTGAAGAAAAAAGAATTTATCTTTATTCTTTCTGTAAAAATATTTTACTGAAACTAACGGTAAAATAAATCAATCCAAAGAGAAAACTTATAAAGACACAGCTCGGTGAGAGAAGAAACACTAAACGAACCACTTATAATGCGACACATTTCGTCCGTTACTCACAGCATCCAATTATTTTATGGATCAACTACGTGGCATTTCTCCCTTTATAAATGAACCCACAAGCAGAAGCAGCTCAATTTCACTCACCACGTCCCTCTCTCCTATTTGCATTTGCACGGTTGAAAGATTCCCTTGGCGGCTTGTTCAAAACGCAAGGGCGAACTCGTGATTTAGCGAATTCATGGCCGACGGCGACTCTAGCTCGTCGGATATCTCCGGAGGCGGCGTTGGATTTGGCGGAGCGAGGAAGGAGATCATGCTGTTCGGCGTTAGGCTTGTGGTTGATCCGATGAGGAAGTGTGTGAGTTTGAACAATCTATCTGAGTATGAGCAACCGGAGGAGATGCCGAAGAAGATCGGCGGGGAAGATGGTGACGGAGAACAGAAGAACAAGGTGGATATTGCCACTGGTTACGCGTCCGCCGACGACGCCGTTCCGATTTCGTCTTCTTCTGGTGGAAATCGCGAGCGTAAACGAGGTAACTTTTGTTTTTTCAATCTTCGATGATACGATATCTAGTCTATAGTTATGTGTTCCAATCGGAGATTGATTCGTAGGATATCGATGGAACTGTTAGCGATGTCGTGAAATGAATCAAATCGGCCTCCGTTCTTACTTTCAAGGAGAGAAAATCGGTGCATGCTGATTTTTCTCTTCCATTTTCTATGAGAGAAAAATGGATGATAGTGGTTTGTCGAGAAACTTCGTTGATGTATCATTTTCTGAAAAGTAATTAACTATCGCATCGAGAGGCAGGAATTGTAATCTGGGTTTGAGCAAATTAGAGTTGGAAAAAAGGGGAACTCTGTTTTGTTGAGTTATCTTTTTTGACAAAATTTTGTTATCTTGAGAGGGCGTGGCTGATTCTTGTCTGTGGTGTTTGTGAAAATTCAGGAATTCCATGGACTGAGGAAGAGCACAAGCTGTTCTTGCTTGGATTACAGAAGGCCGGGAAAGGTGATTGGAAAGGAATCTCCAGGAACTTCGTGAAGACTAGAACGCCTGCTCAGGTGGCGAGCCACGCTCAGAAATATTTCCTTAGGCAAAGCAACCTCAATCGACGTCGACGGAGATCTAGCCTCTTTGACATGACCACTGAAACGGTAACTTCTAATCCTCAATGACTGAAACTGAATCTGAAACCTCTCTGAATGAATTAGATGGTGCCCAAATGATTTGCCCTTTGACTGGTATACGTCCTGTTTCATAGATGGTTGGCTTGAATGTGGACGGATTTAGCTTTAGAGGAGGGTTTACTTTTTCTGTTCTGCTTTGATTTGAGTTCTCAAGCTTTTGAAGTTTGCCGCCTTTTGTTTTGTGTTTCTTGCCACCTGAACCTTGATGCAAAGATTTTCTCAAGCTTCCTCCGTTAGGAGTCCTTGTTTACAAAATGGGGTCTAGTTTTATTTCTTGATTGCCGATGGGGATGAGAATAAGCAATACATAGGATATTAAACTGCCGCTTGTATTCCAATACCAAAGGAAATACAAGATTCGGAGAGGCATACCTCTCTCACACCATACACAAGCTTCTGCTTTTGTCGATAACCTTACACAAAGACTCAGAGAGGTAATGATTCCCTCATCAGAAATAATCCCCTGCAACGTCTCTTTGCTTGTTCCATGTCCCTCCTTCTCAACTGTATTTGGGCCCATACTCTGCTCCACAGACGACGCTTCTCCCTCTCTGAGCTTCTTCTTCTTCCTTGCATATACCCGTAGTGGCGCATATCAAGGTCCTGCTGGAGAAACAATCTCTCTTAACTACAATGATTTTGGTAAACTTGATAATGCTTGTCCAGACAGTGCAATAAAGTGAATAAATTGTACTCAATTTAGTGTTAAGAGCTAGTCCGACATTATTAAGTTGGGAAATCTGGTGCAACATCGGCAAAAATACACGTTTGTGAAGTTAACCTAACACTTGGACCTGCTTGTTTTGTCAGGTCAAAATGCCCATGGAGGAACATCAGCTCCTTACTCAGGAGAATTCAACTGCAATCCCGTTACTGAACCCGACGCACGGTCCGACTTCACATTGGGCACCATTCAATCTAAACACGGATCGAAATCCGGGCTTGAGTTTTCCACCCATCTCCCTCAACCTCTCTCTGGCCTCGCCCTGTCTGAAGGATCCATCCTCGAATCCTTCGGCTTTCGAGATGATGCCCAGATTCAGCGGCGGAGATAGCAGTAGCAGCATCATCGATGTCGCTTAGAGCCAAGGTGAATCGGCAAAGGACCTGCTTTCTTTGTTGTACAGATAAGGTTACAAAATCAAAACAACTCGCCCGTGGATTTATCTCTCTTCGTGCTCGCGTAATTTATATATTCTACTGGATCTGATGAAAGGGGTTAGGGCTGTCTTGTTTTTAGTTGTGATGGAAGTTATAATACGAAGTTATCGCTGTTCTTAGCTTCTTAGTCAGTGTCAGTTTAGGATATGTCAATCTCAAAATCTGACGGTCCATTTTCATTCTCGTAATATGTAATGTAATATGTAAATTGGGCCTTGATTTAGTAATTTATGTCAAATAATGTGCGTGGTGAAAGGTGTTCGATATGTGTATTAAATCTGTTAATTATAGTTGGGGATGACATGTACATGTGTGGGTTCAACGAATAAGTCACCATCTTCATTGTGGACTAATGTGCATTTGATTGGTCACTTGATCATAGTGTAGATTTTTCTAGTTAGTATAAATATTTTTTATTATATAGTTTTGTGTGGATGTAATTTGGCAGATTTCGATGTGACCAATGGCAATTATCAGCCAAACAATTTGCTTATTGATTGATTCATTGTTTTTGACTTGTGATTTTTGTTTCTTTTCTTTTTTCTTTTTAATTTGGAGGAATAGAAATGGCATTTTGTTTTCCACCGTCCAACATTTTGATTTCATATAACGTGGTATGTATATATAATATTGCGTAAATTTTAATAAAATAAACAATATAGCATTATATTCTAAATAAATACAAAATTAATGCAAACTGTAAATGGAATATAAAAATAATTTTAAGATAGAAAGTAAACGATTTTTTTCTATTTTTGCCAAATATATTAAGTTAAATACTGAATTTCGATTTTTTTTAAATAAATATGTTTTTTTTTTACTTTTGTGCTAAAAATTTTGATTAAAATCTTCAAATTCCAAACTGAAAACTTCGTATTTCATTATTTATTCAATGTGTAATTTGTTAAACTTTATACAGTTCATTTTTAATATGATATTTACGGAAAATTTATATTTGTTTTACTTCATATCAAATTTTTATATTTTTTCATAAATTTTTTTAAATCCACTATTTATTTATTACAAAATTAAATATATTATATAAGTTTTTACGATTAAAAATGAATATTTTTTAAATTAAATGAAAATAGAATTTTAATCAAATACTAAAAAAACCAGCTAATGAATCTTGCGATAGAAATACCATCACTACACAAATATGTGTTGTAAACGGTCGTAGAATCCATCAAATTATTTTGCGATGAAATTTTTTTATTTTTCATTGTTTTAGATGAAAATTTTAAATTTTAAGAAGAAGATGATTTGTGGTTTTTATTTCGTTTTGTGATGGATTGCAATAAAAATTATTATCGGAAAAGAAAATAAAAATCGTGACTTCGTCTTCTTCTTCCTTCATATTTTAAAATTGAAAAAATATTGAATCACCGATGTGTATCCAATTTCGCCTCTAATCTTCACTCTCCTACAAAATTTCTCTAAGATATGTGTTTATGTTGTATTTGTATATGTGATTGCAGGGTCGTTCCAAAGATATTTGAGGCTCTGTTCATATTATAAAAATTAATTAATAAAAAATATAAATCTATATAATAAAATATTATTAATATTAAAATTAAATTTTATTCTTAAACCAATAAATATACAATTGAACAATAATATATAATAGATTTACAATAAAAATTTTAAAATTTATATATAAATATAATCATTTATGTTGAAACAAAAAAGAAATAGAAAAATAATATAACACATTAGATTTTATTTTCGGAATATATATATATATATATATATATATATATATATATATATATCAATTATGGCGGCCATGGATGACGTCAATGGTGATCAGCCAGTCGATGGTTTAAACATGAATGGAGATGTCGACGACGACGACGACGAAGATGATGATGATGATGATGATGATGATGATGATGATGATGATGATGATGATGATGATATGTTGCTTATGATTGTAGCTTTGCAACTGATGAAAACAGAGGTGGTTGTAGCCATTGGTGCACAACCTTTAGGAATTGCTCACATTATCTTCCACATTTCAGAAGAGCTCCATGTACCTCTCTTGTCATTTGGAGCCACCGATCCGACTCTCTCCTCCCTCCAATACCCTTATTTCCTTCGCACCACTCGGAACGACTATTTCCAGATTTACGTCATTGCAGGTTTCTGCAGATCATTCTTGAGATGAATTTCACGGGTCAATTAACATAATAAAAACATATTTCAGAAAGTCGAGACAAGAACATGATTCTTTATCATATATATATATATACTTGTAACAAAGTGAAACAAGACTTGATTCATTCTTTTCACAATAAGAATCAACAATCAATCGAGTCAAGGAGGCGGAGCAGTGTTCACTTCTCCTTTATTTCATACTGAAACCCTTTATGGTATTTCCCTTTCATATGAGTTCCTTATTTGCAGAAGAGAAGAGGAGAAACTATACTCGAACAGATCAGTCGTACAAGGGCTGCTCGTAATAGCTAGGAAATCCCAAATACATCTCCTTCTCCTTTGCAATTATCGACTCCACGAACCCGTTGCTCGGATTTTCATCCTTCTTCTGCTTAGTTTCATTGCTCTCACTCGCAGTTGAAGTTGTGACAGTGACCGCCTCCGAGAAATAAGCAAATGAATTGTCGAGTTCCTCGGGTTTTTGATGATTCTCTGGGAAGATTTCTTGATCAAGAAGAAAGTCGGACCAGCTGAAGTTCAGGTCAGTGTTCTCTTGTGGTGTAGCGGAAGACGTCGAAGCAGTCGACGAGGAGGAAGAAAACGAATCCGATAACGCAGAAGACGACAGCAGAACCTGCGGGCCGTTGTAGAAATCGGGTAAGAAGGTCTCTGGCTTCACTTGTGCCGATGCGGCCACAGTCATGAACTTTATAGCTTCTAAGTGAGATAGGAGATCGCCCGGTTCACCGACTTGATTTGGGTCTGAATCTTTCTCAGATCTCGAGAAGGAAAGAGGGTGTCTAAGGTTGCGACTGAGAGAACCGCTTCGGGCTGAAGGATTAGGGGTTAGGGTTTCTCCGTTTATGTTGCCGTAATCAGCAAGAATGTGAGAGAATGGCCGGTGAGTGACAGGATCTATGCCCATTTCAGTCAGCTTTTTCTTTAGCTTTGATTTCCAAAACATCTTGACATCATTCTCTGTCTTTCCTTGCAATTGTTGGGCTATAAGGGGCCATCTGAATCCACAAGAACAACAAAAAAAAACCCGGGATTTTCAAATTCTTGCGCAGAATGCATCGTGCTCGATTAAACCCTAAACCCATGATGCAGAATATTTTACATGAACAATATGAACATTATATATAATATTTCAAAGTTATAACATATTATCTTAAGACAGACCTGCTCCCTATGGCTGCATGCATCCTGATGATGAGATCTTCTTCCTCAGGGGTGAAGCTTTCATGCTTAAGAGAAGTGGAAGCACAGTTATCTGCCCACCTCAGTCTGCAGCTCTTCCCACATCTCCTAATTCCTGTGGACATTTTCAAACCACTCATTAAATTCATACAAACTATATGTATTGTTTGATAACCGTAGCCTTTGTATCGATGTTAACCGAATCTTTCTTTAAAACCCGAACAAAAAAATAGGATGAAACATCTCGAGATAGAGGATTCGTTAAATTTAAGGTTTTAGAGAGGGACATGTAAATGGAATGTTGTATTTGAACGTCCGAACCACATGATTTGTTGGAGAATATGAGCAGTTAATTTACGCGAACATCCATCGCATAAGATCCGATTGAATATCGAAACTTTCATTAATTAGTGTAAAACTTCTCTATAGTTTTAAAGAAAAACATCAAATTAATAGATTAGAAAATGTGCATATATATAAGAGAAAAAAAAAAGAAATCGATTTTTTTAGTAACCTGTTTTCTTAGACGTTGCGACGGAGTTTCTAGGGACGTGTTTGGACGCAGGAGCGAGAGTTTTAGCATCGTCTTCGTCCGACCATGACCCATTTCTCCCGAAGCTAGGTTTCACCATTTTCGGTCCGGAGACGCGATTCCGAGTATGTTTGGATCCCTTGATAGGATACAAAATCAAATGAAATTATGAGATTATATTAGGGAAATTACAAAGGCTATTGGGAGGAAGGAAGGGATTAGGAAAATGGGTTCGGAGGTATAAGAAGCGTGGGTGGCAAGGAAAGCATGAGGATGATTTTCCCTCTCTTAAAATTACATCTGCATGATCCTTTATTATAAATATTAATAGTTTATGTATTTGTGTAATTGCAGCTTATGATTTAAATATGTTAATTTTATTTTCTGGTTAAATTCTTTATTATTAACAACGAAACCTAGGGTTTATGTAAACCTCAAGATTTCCCTTTGGTAATTAATCTTCGAGATTCTTCCTTTTGTATTTTTTTTTTTGATAATCCGGAAGTTCACCCAAACTTGGATTCTTCCTTTTGTATTATAGCCCATATCTCGGTTTTTGGTTCTTTTCAAATTTGGATTCTCTGAGTTTTGGAAATATTGCACCCATTTGGCTTTTATGTTTGGTCAAAATACTATTTGGGTTTTTTATTATATTTTTTTAAGAAAAATATTCATCTTGTAACGATTTTTTGTTTCTTTTTTTCACATTTCGTTTCAATTTGATTCGATTTCAATAATTTTAGGTTAAAAGATAATATCCCATTACTTTTAAATCCGTTTGTAATTATTATCCCATTAGGTTTAAAATTCATTTAAAGAAATTCAGATTTGCTGTATTGTATATCAGTAATCTTAAAGTTGTTTTTAAACCAAAGTTAGCTAATTAATCATTTTGAATTTTAATGTATTGAGACTTTTTGCAAACCCAAAAGAAATATATATAAAAAGAGACATTACAAATAATGATCGTAGAGGTGTATAACTTCATATTATTTCTAAACACAAAAAGAAAACGTTGTTACAATTTTCAACCATAAATGTATTGTCGTTGATTTTTGTAAAAGCTATCTTTTAGTGATCTAACACTTGCAAAGCTTTCTTGAGTGAAGAAATATATAACAATTTAAGGGAAAGAAAGAAAATGATTTTGGGTTTTTATTGTTAGTTTTTTTTTTACAAACACAATCAAATAATTATATAATATGTGCATATAAATGTGTTTGCAACCATATTCATGCCTCCTTTACCAAAAACAAAAACTATATATTGACACCTCATTACCTCATTTGCATGTAAATCATCGAGGCAAAGCCTATGAGACGATGATGTCACAATCCGACATCTTACATTACGGCCTTAATTTATGCTCTAGTCTTCTTTTTTTTTGTTGTTGTTATTATTCTGTTACATTATTTTGATGGTTTTCATGAATTAACTTTATGCTCTAGTCCTCCTGTTATTATATTATGTTCATAAAGGACAACTTGAATTTCTCATATAATTGAAATCCAAAATTGAAAATTGAAATACTCACACCTAAATTTGGGTGACATAATAGTAGAATGTCAATTTAGGTACGAAGTACGAAATCTGTTCCGGTCCAACCGGAAAATTAAATGGCTTTGGATCTAAATTTTTCGACAAAAAAAAAATCGGACTTTCAGTCCGGGTTCAAATCGGACTTCAGACTCGATTCGGATCGTCCCAAAAATTCATTATTTTTTTAAAAAATAACATAAAAGAAAAAAATAACATTTACAAAAGAAATTATGCGGGCCGGTCTAGCCCGACCCGATCCGAGTCCAAAATATATAGGGTCGGACTTCGGACATAGTTATATAGACCCAAAAAAAATCAATTGGTCCGAGCTTGAGTCCGAAACTTTCGAGCCGAATGCGAGTTCGGACCGACCCGATTGACACCCCTATATAATGGTAAGAGAATATTCAAAACATACTTTTATCTCACGTTCAAATTCAAACGTGGTGAGAGATATTCATCTAGATTTCTCCGGTCTTTTGAAAGATTTAGTTAGCTAAATGAATTTTTAGATTATAAAAAAAAAATAAAAAGAAATAAATCAAATAAGATGTTTTTGGCATTTTCTGGTGGCGGATGAATTAAGAAGATTTTGTTTTTCAAGTTCGTGGAGGGGCCTCGAACCAATTCCTTTTACGCACATCATAAGCACCGGTTTGCAAAAAAGGGTCCTTCGGCACATTTTGGCTTGGCCCATATATATATATTGGCTTCTTCCGTTTGCGGTAATTGACAAAGCACCTCCCATTTAGTCTTAAATATTTTTTAGATTTATTTCATCTTATATATAATGGTTCTGTATTAGACTTGTGGTTATATTATGCTCATCTTATATCAAAATATGAGTTGGTTATATAACTGTAATCCAAAATTTTAAATAACATCTTGGAAGACTTAAATTACTGATATTCAATTCGAATAAAAAAAATTATAAATATATCCAAATTCATTCGAAATAAAAAAAAAAATCAATTAGAATTTGAAATGACCATAAAAATATATAAAAAATCTGAAATCATATGAATTTTTACGTAAATCGAATCCAAATAAAACACTAAATGAATCGAATTCTGATATAAAAGTCAAAGAAATATGATCTTTTTAAATTCTAAAAATCATGAATAAAAAATAAACCAAACATGATAGATGCCATTACCATATATTGAATATGTACGTACACAAATGCCATTCGTGACGCAATCTTTTTCCGGTCCCACAAACAACGAGTAAGACCCGTTTTTGCCTTCCATAAAGTGTTCAATTCAAAACTACAACGGTAGTCTGAAACGACAGAGACGTTGATAAACCATTTTTTTTTAAATAATCTAATTTAATTATTTTATTATTTTTCGTAATTTATCTCAAATTTAAAAATCAAGAGAGAATGAAGGAGATGATCTATCTTTCGGACAAACAAAAAAAAATGGTTCAAATCGATATATATTCCCTATGATCCCACCTCGGTAACGTCATTTTTACAACATCCTCCTCCCTCTCACATTCAAGGATTGCGATTCCTCTTTCAAATTTGGGTTTTCCTCGTTTTCGGCCTCCTCTTTGCTTGGATCACAAGGAAAAGTCATCATGAAGAAACCCAAATTGTCAAAACTGGAAAAACCGGACAAATTCGATCTGTTCTTCTCTTTATGGAAGCAGAGATCGGTTCGGATTTTGATGGCGGTGGGGTTTCTGTATCTCTTTATCGCCTCACTTGAGATCCCAATCGTAATCAAATCCGGGTCGAGCTCCGTCACGCCGGATCCTCTCTCCCGACTCGAGAAGCTCGACAGCGAGCATGACTCGGTAGCCCGAGAAGCCCCGACCCGCCCTTTGAATACATTAGTATACCCGGACCCGACCAGGAGCAGCAACAGGGATCATATCAATGGCGGCGAACGTCGTCGGACCTTTCTCTCGGGGCTAAGATTCGATTCAGAGACGTTCGACCCGAGTAGCAAAGATGGGTCCGTCGAGCTTCACAAATCGGCCAAGGAAGCATGGGAACTGGGTCGAAAGCTGTGGAAGGAGCTCGAATCGGGAAGGTTGGAGAAATCGATGGAGAATTCTCCCGAGAAGAACCAATCAGATTCGTGCCCGCTTTCGGTTTCGTTGTCCAGGTCGGATCTTCTGACCCGTAAGAACAGCGTGATGGAACTTCCGTGTGGTCTGACTCTGGGTTCTCATATAACATTGGTGGGGAGGCCAAGGAAGAGGTCTTCTAAGGAGGAGGATGAATCTACGTTGATGTTCGTTGTTGAGTTGCAGGGTTTGAAGACTGTTGAAGGAGAGGACCCACCTCGGATCCTTCACTTTAATCCAAGGCTTAAAGGAGATTGGAGCCGGAAACCAGTGATTGAGCAGAACACTTGTTACCGGATGCAGTGGGGAGTGGCCCAGCGGTGCGAAGGATGGCGTTCGAGGCCTGAGGAAGAGACTGGTAACGCTTTTGTTTTGTTCAACATTTGATTTGTAGTTATTCAGTCTAGTAAGGACAGTATTAGGATAGAATGAGGAAGAAAATGTATATGGTACTTCAGGCTGTAGATCCATGTTCAATTGAATGGGTTACCAAGGAACAAAAATGCTTATTTGGACATCTAAGATTGTAGCAACTCCAGGTAGAGTTAAGGCATGCAAGATTGTTGGAACTATGCCAGGACTGAATTAGGAAGGGATGTTATATAACATTACTAGCTGTATCTAAGACCCATGTTTAATCCGACAGTAGTAACCCTTAGTGGAGTGATCCCTGGATGACGAGCTCCAGTTGGATCCTATAGGCTATGGAAATGGAAAGATCATACAGACCAACAAAGTGGATTTTACTGAGAAAAGTTAGAATTGTGAATTTGTGAGATTCCCTGAAAGGGTTTGGCTCTGAGCTCTGAGCTCTGAGTTATGGGTAAGGGACCAAGGGTGGTTGTATGCTGTCATAAAAGTCATCCATTGTTAGTCTTCCTTTATCACTAGTTGATTTTTAGTTTATTTTTAGAATCTTATGGGAACTTTCCATGTACAGTTTATAAGGCTCTCCCTCCAGTCAAAATATTGAATCTTACCTTCATCAAGGTGTGGGTTTTCTTGTCTCGTCAACGTTATGGATTAGAGAATTCTAGGTGGTAGATGGAACTGCCTGTTCATAGATTAGTTACCAAAAATTACGTCATCGTTTCTGCTTTTACGTGAGATTGTTGCTAGCCCGTATAACTTAGTGCTTTATCCCTATTCAAAGTTTCAGTTGACAGTGTCAGTTGTAGCAATGTAGTATTCATATGCTTGGAGTCCAAATTAAAGAATCTAAGCTGACAAATTTAAGGTGGGTTTGAATCTTTCTATATCTGTTGTCAAATCAGGAACATATTCAAGTTTAGGTTGCTTGTCATTTATTTTTCTGATGCTTAACTTGTGCTTCAGTTTCAACACTTTGATCGCCAAGTAGAGTAATTCTTTAGAGTGGCTGCAGTTGATGGTCATTTGAAATGTGAGAAGTGGATCCGTGACGATGACAGTTATTCAGAGGGATTCAGGGCAACATGGTGGTTGAATCGGCTTATAGGCCGGAGAAAAAGTGTGAAAGTAGAATGGCCATTTCCCTTTGTGGAGGAGAAGTTGTTTGTGCTCACTCTTAGCGCGGGATTGGAAGGTTACCATATCAACGTTGATGGAAAGCATGTTACATCTTTTCCTTATCGTACTGTGAGTGTCCTACTCTCCTCTCTCATTGAGTATTGCCTAACGGGCTAGCTCTTTTGTTACAGTAACAAAAAAAAATGGACAAAGCAAAGTGGATTCACTATTGTTTTGATAAAATAAAAATCATATTTCTGTTCATGGAAAAGATGCAAGATAGAAGACAGCATCTACCAAGTTGCTTATTTTGGTATTGGCTAGCTCTTTTGTTTGTAATTCTTTGTTATTCATCTTTAGGGTTTTGCCCTTGAGGATGCAACCGGCCTAATTGTGAATGGAGACATAGAAGTCCATTCTGTTTTTGCTGCCTCTCTGCCATCATCGCATCCCAGCTTTGATCCTCAAAGACATCTAGAGTTGTCGAGCAGATGGCGGGCCCCTCCTCTTCCCAAGCGGCCCGTGGAGGTTTTTATTGGCATTCTTTCTGCAGGCAATCATTTCGCTGAGCGGATGGCTGTAAGGAAATCTTGGATGCAACATGACCTTATTACATCTTCAAAAGTGGTCGCTCGCTTCTTTGTTGCACTGGTAAAATTTAACATGCTTATGACGTAAACATTCGTGTTGCTTTCGCCATTTTCCCAATTTTTTATTATGCTCGTTGCTTGTCTAACATCTCCAGTTGTCTAGAAGTTTTCCTTGGTGTATCGATTCAAATCTAAAACCGTTCTCCAGTGTAGTTACGTTTTCGACCAAGTTGAAAACTTTAACTTCTATATTTGCGAGGGATGAGTCTTGACTATGGAATGGAATTCATCAAACCACAAAAGTGACCTGTAAGTGAAACAAGAAAGCAAAAACACGAAGATGGTTGCTGATGCTATACTTTTTTTAAACGTTGTGCAATTTACAGCATTGGAGGAAGGAGGTGAATGTGGAGTTGAAGAAAGAAGCGGAGTACTTTGGGGACATCGTGCTTGTTCCTTACATGGATAGTTATGATCTCGTTGTACTGAAAACTGTTGCCATCTGCGAACACGGGGTGAGCATCAAGAATGTGACATTTGAGTATCAGTGCCATATATACAGAGATATATAGATATATTCATATTCACATTGATCCTTGACAAGTGACTTTGATTTTTGCAGGCTTATGCATTCTTTGCAAAGTATATAATGAAGTGCGATGATGATACGTTTATAAAACTTGATGCAGTAATCAACGAAATAAAGAAAGTTCCAGCTGATAGGAGCCTTTACATTGGAAATATGAATTACTACCACAAGCCTCTTCGTGGCGGTAAATGGGCGGTCACATATGAGGTACATACAAGCATTTCTCTCGCAAACATTCAATCTTTCCTATCATATTCACAAAAATTTGGTTCTTATTCATTTTTTTTTCAATAAAAACGTATAACCAGAGTGGAGTTCTCTGCAGTATCTTAGTGGATGACCATTGTAATTTTTTCTGCTAATGGAACAGGAGTGGCCAGAGGAGGACTATCCACCGTATGCAAATGGACCAGGCTACATTCTATCTTCAGACATTGCACACTTCATCGTTAAAGAGTTCGAAAGACACAAATTACGGGTAGATAAAAAGAGAAAACTATATCGAATTCATTCCATGTTGCTTAAAACTCGACATTCATATACTTTTTCTCGTATCAGCTTTTCAAGATGGAAGACGTGAGTGTCGGAATGTGGGTTGAGCATTTCAAAAACAATACAAAACCCGTGGACTACCGACACAGTCTGAAATTCTGCCAGTTCGGCTGTGTAGAAAACTATTACACGGCTCACTATCAGTCCCCGAGACAGATGATATGCTTATGGGACAAACTTCAGAAAAAGAGCGAGCCTCAGTGCTGTAACATGAGATGATTCTCCTCCGGGTAACGTTTTCGAAAGGTCGGTTCGGTTGCATGTACATAGAGGATCTGGATCTGTACTCAGATCTATTTGCATGCTGTTTCTTATTGCTCCTGTTGTTTGAGGAAATGAATGGGAGAGGGGTTAGGAACTGTAGCAAGGGGAAGAAAGCATAGAAAATCTCTTTCTTCGTTTCATTAGTGAAACTTCCTTGTTAATTGAAATGGGAATCTGTTCATTTTTCTTCTTCCCTTCATGTTGGCATGAACACGTTCTAATCTAATATTTCCGTTTCTGTCTTCTGAATTATGTTTGTGCATGCATTCATATCATGCCGTCCACTTGATTTTAAGCTGGGTAAGGACACCAAATCTCCAACAAATTTATATTGAAGTGTGGGTTCAGATTTCGGTCGATCCGTTTCCGTAGTTAGCCCATGCCAGAGAAGACGAGGATCAAGGGATGGAGGTTAGCGGACGTTCCGTCCTTTGCCTTCGCCTTCAACAGTTTCTTCACCCTTCCTCGCGACGTCACCTCTTTTCTCGTCATTCCTCGCCGCATCGCGTCGCGACCTCACCTCCTCGTTGACAAGATAAGATGCCCACGGATACCCAAGAACTCATTGTCGCCACATACCCAAAACTCAAGTATCCAAGCATCTCCTTCGGCTTTTGCTTGAGGTTGAGACCTGCTGGTCCCACCAAAAGAAAAAAAACCAAGGGGACGAGAAAAGGACAGCGTCGGCTACACCAGAAAGTAGAATACCCGACCGGCAGCTACCCACACAAATCCAACATAGTCACTTCATCTTGATAGTTCAAAGTTTATATAACTTTCTAGTTCTTTCCCATCTTGTACAGTTTAAATCCGGTAGAAAAAGAAGCCGCTTACTATAATCTAACATGAGCACACACCTAGACCAGGATCGAAACACGAATACATGAGCTCGCAACATCGAGTCCAAACATCGTTTCTTGAATCCGAGCGACAAACAACACATGACAGCTCAAGCAAGAGATGAGACAGGCATTAAGTAAACTGGATTACACGAGTAGAGAGACACCATAACAGTTCAAGAAGAAAAAATACGAAACTTTTCCGTTTAGGCGATGATTAGCAGACAAGCTTCAATGACTGAATGCTAACGATCCCTAGAGAAGGATCTGAACTGTTTTAACCAATCTAAGAGGCTGAAAGGTTTTCTGGTTAATACAGAGTTAGAAAGGTTAAATTTTACACTAAGTGGATAGCATAATATAACTCCCAAGGAATTTTCTGGTTCACCCGCCCTAGTTTTCTTTCTTTCAAGGGTATACACCGTAAAAAAATGACTACCTAAATCTACATACCTTTTGGCGCCATATAGTGCCTGCCCCTCCTTAGCTGATTAACTTACAACCAACGTAGATACACTCGAACAGAAGCCAATGAGTGTTGAGTGTCCCGTGGTTCACTGCCCGTGAACATTCTCGGGACAGGCTTTCCCACAAAACCCAATGAATTTACTATCGTACAATGCAAACTATAGCCACAGCTTCACAAAGGAGAGGCCTTGAGTGCTTATGAATTGTCTGTGTTATCATCATCCTTCATTACTGTATTTGGACCATCATCAAAACCAGAAACAGGGGCCAGCTCGTTTAGGTCAAGGTAATGCCTTTTTCCTCCGCCCTCAACTTCATCTTGGTCTGATCCATTTGGTTTATTAAGAAGCTGGTCGCCCTCTTTCTCAGTTGTGTCTGCATTGTCATTATCCTCCATAGGCTCTTCAGCGACTTTTGTTTCTGGGTCATTTCCATTTTCTTCGGATTCTTGACTTCCCATTGAAAAATCCCCGTTCTCTGTTTCATCAGAGTGTTCATCCCGTTCTACCACCAACCGGCTAGATTTTGCAGGCATTTCTGCTTCGTTGTCTGATTCTGAAAGCTCGTATTGTTTGTAGTTAATCCGATTCCTCGTGGCTCTTTTGCTGCGCCTCAGACCTGGCTGGAGATCATTCGATCTCGACCGTAATTTTGTTTCTCTCCGCGGCCTTTTCTTAAACCTCTGGGGTTCATCACTATCTTCTTCGCTAACACTTAGAGAATCTTCTTCCTCGTCTTCTTCCTCCTCATCATCAATGTTGTCTTCGTCCCATCTATACTCCTCATCACCCTCGGAACCACTAGAGTGTTTTTTCCTCTGATTACGCTTCCTCAGATATTCTTCGTCATAGATTGCTTCCCCAACTATGTCATCGTCACTGTCAAAGTCTACCTCATTGTCTGAAACAGTTTCAACAAAGTCCATAGTCGAATACCGTTGAGGCCGTTGTCTCCGTCGATTGCTGTCAGAAATGCTTTATTTGTTAATTTCGCAAAAGATTCTGCAAATCTATAGAGGGTGAATTTAAGGAGAAAAGAAAGACAGACTGTTTAAGATGTCTTGCCTTCTGTCCAACGATTCAGACTTATGTTCATCCACATCGTTGTAATCAGCAAAATCTGAAGATCTCCCGGATGTTGTATCGTTTCCGAGCTCAGAAGGGTTGGTAGAATTGTTCCATCCGCCGTTCACAGTGGTGTCCAATCTGGTAGATTCTCTTCTGTGAAGAGGAGGTTCGGGTGATGGAGGTTTCTTCCTGGAATAGAGAAAGAAATAGAATGAGGAAACACAAACATGGAAGACTATTCAAAGTAACAGATAAAGCAGGAAACTAAAGCAGTCCAAAACTCCACGAACCCAGAAAAAAATTGAATTTGTTTCAACATTTCGACATACTTGGTTATCTTGATTGCTTCATTTATGGAACGGTCATAATCATCTGCAAAAACATTGACATAAAGTCAGAAGCTCCAACATCGTGAGTCGATCAAATGAAGAAAAACCATCGAACCCAGATAGAGATATCCAGCTGAGGCAGGCAAAGATTCAAACACATGGCGCAAAAATCTTCAACGAAGTATTACACTTACCAAAAGTGTATCGAACCGGCTTCCTATCACGAAGAGAACGACCAGCGCCAAGGCCATCAACAACCAAAAAGTTATCAAGAAGAAGAGCCTGTCTATGTTGCTTTTTCAACATTCTTTCTTTTCTCTGCCCGAAAAATAAAAAACGCAAATAATTATACAAGGATGCAGGAAATAAACACGTTTAACTGAAAATATACCCTCGGTAGCAGAGTGTCACTCTATAGTAGCTGATAAAGAATCCAAAGAAAAAGAAAAAAAAGGAAGTCAGCAGGACAATTGGTACCTTATGTTCTTTTTCAATTTCAGGAAGCATATCATTCTTCAACCTTTTCCCTAAAGAAGCCTCAGTTCTATTTTGACTTGTAAAAAGTTTCTCCTGCAACAGCAGATCGAACGTAGGGACAACTTTACTTAGTTACTTTAATGTACAATAGGAGCAAGTATTTATTACAAATGAAGGTTCACTCCACAATAAAAAGACGTAAAACCAATAGAAAATGATTCAAAAGAAAGCCAAACATGTTCCAGACTTCCAGTTCACAACAAGGAGCTAAACAACTGAAACGCCAACCTTTTTCAGGAATGGGCATCTCTAAGTTTCCAAATCCGAAACATGTACCAGACATTACTATCTTATTAGGACATGATAGTGTTTCAACCACCAGAGATGACTGATGTAAGGGTACATGTACCATTCTTTTAGTAAAATCTTAAATCAATAAATTCTATCCTGACGAATAGAGTATAATCTCAAATTTGACAACTTTTGGATTTCATTACTGAAGGGAATATTTTAAGGAAACATCACTGATGATTCAACCCCACGCACCGTCTACTGAGAACCATTATAACAAAACTATTGTCACTATATTCCATGATAAGAAATGGCAGCTCGCAAGACAAGAGTCAAATAGAATAGTAGTGTCCATACAACTTATCAAATAGCTCAAAATAATAGAGTAATAGTAGTGACTTACAGAAACGTCTTGAAATTCGTCAAAATTAGTGGCAACGGTTTCCCATTGGTATGTTATATTAGGATCAACTTTGGAACCCTTTGTTTTCACCTTTACTGGCTCGGCTTTCCTTATTTCACGGTATAATCGATGGCCAATTAAGGGATCATCTTCATACCTAGTTATAGAATTTACACGTATATCAGAAATCAACTAACAAGCAGATGCGGTTAAAGATATATTTCAGGGTATATCGATTTGTTATCTCTTATTTGCCCATTACCAGAAATTAACTCCATGTGAATCACCCCCAACGCGTTCTTTGCGGAAAGCTGAGAGATGAATGCCACTTTTAAGAGAGTTATCAATGTAGCCCCTGATGTCCTCTTGCTGTAAAATTCACACATATCATCTTGATTAGAAGTGTTAGACCACATATGTTTCAATTCAATCAGAACAGTGCATAACAATGATCATGAGACTGCATAACAGGATTAGACAGGCAGCAATAGAAAGATTGTGTTGATATCTGTGTATGCCATGCAAACTAGCTAAATGAACAAGAATCTGGATAAATGACTACAAACATAAAAGAATGATTTTTATATGCATAGAAAGTTTCTATTAAAAAACATTATGTGTGCTTCTGCTAGGTGAATAAGGCCACATAACAAACCGTACAGTGGATCAGAGGACACGATAATCTTTCGGAGAATAAAAACAAGAGCAACAAAAGATACAAGGGGTATATAGTACAAGCACAAGAGCTGTTACTGAAAGATTTGGATAACCGCACGGCAGAAAACAACAGTACCTCAACACGAATATCACAAAGAGCTTTCAATATCAACACACGGATTCCTGGATCAAGTGACTTGTAATCTTCAACTTCCCGCCTACAAGATTAAGAGGAGTAAAATAATAAATATGTTTTTAAGTAATCAACTGCCAGAGGAATCCGAAAATGATAACTACCCACCCTTGGGAGGTAACAATAGGAAGATCCCCTTCTGCGACCTAAATGAGCATGCATAGTTTGTATCAGAACAAGGACTAATGAATAATGCCAAAATTACATCAGATATCAAGGAAACGGAGATCTACAATCATTACCCAATGCCACCAATCTCTTAATTTCCTGCACAAGACAGTGACCCAGGTATCACGTGTAAGGGCCATTCGAGTTACAGGAGGAATAGCCTACAAATAGGAAAAGGTCAAAATTAGTAAAGAAGATGCTCGCAAGGGAAACCGTTAACAATGGGACCCTTTTATAGTAGTTAGATTAGATTTGATATTACTTAGTCTATCAGACAAAGAATATTTGATTCGAAATCTTGATTAGCATCAATATCAAGTGTAAAGCATTTGCAGCACTATCGAGTAACCATGCAACAATAACTTTACACCCACAAAGAGATATAACAACATAAAATGAAGGCATCAGTTTCTTAATCATTGTGTACAATGCAAGTTAACAATATCGGGATTAAAATGAAGACCAACAATCAGGAAATATCATATTCTACAAATCCAAGAGTTGGTGGTAAATAGGGTTTATCCTCAATCTGAACTGCAATAAATAAAGGTTGTAATAACTGTAGCTACGTCCAATCAGCAAGCAAATTAGGAAAGTAATATCTCCTAGATAGAAGCAATTCCATTTATGCACACAGAAAAAGCAAAGAATGGACTGCTTCTCAACATAAAAAACCAGACCAATGTTGATCTGAACGAATCTCAAGCCACTCTTTTATGTCACACACTACAGTTCAACAGAAAGCTAAACTGTACCAAAATCTGTAGGCTGATGGCATGAAATCAATACACATAAATTGTCATTGCACAACCAAACCAACATGTTCTTAACAGTAAAAGAAATAATAAACACCTTTCTACCCAGCATGTTTTTTCCACATTCTCCTACATATATCTTTCATTTCCTCACTATATTTTCTAATACCAAAATAATAATAATTGGAAACACAAAAGAAGATATTTACACTATTTGATTGCCTTCTCTCAGTGGTTTACACGGTATGAAAGAGACACTAGAAGCAACACCATAGAGGACAGAACCAACTCCTGTTTTCCTAGCATAAGCATTCATTGGATCTCAATTTTAAATTAACTAAGCATAATCACATTTCAAGTTTCTGAGAGTCAATGCCTTCTTGTTTAACCTTAGTGAGACAGAAAGCATCCTCCAGAACTTTCTCAAACATCTCAATGAGTACACAGCTTTCTCTGGTTTTCAATCTCACAAGAAGGAATTTTTAGTCCAATTGTAACTCCATTCAGCTGAACCAGTAAATACAGTTGATTGTAGCCCCTTCCAAGACCTATTAACAGGGAATTTCCAAAATCTATTGTCTTTCGCCTCTGAATTTGTAATACAGAACAAAGCTACATATCTAGCAGCCATGAAACACATACTACAAAACCTATATTTTCACCGTAAAACAGAGAACATTTAACTTCGCAAGCAACTATGTCAGTAAGAAACGGGAAGAAGGGTCCAACGTTTGCAATTTATCTTCTTGCCACTCGCTGTCTAAATTCGTTAACAGATCTTTTTCCCACTCCAAACGAATGTTACCTCTCAGTACCTGCCGTTCCATATTCCAATCAGATCTCACCATCAACAAGAGCCAACACTAGGCTTAGAACTATCAGAAAGGAACACAGCACAACCCTGATTTCTACTCATGCGAATGCAATAAAATCTTGAAGTACTTTCAACTTAAGAAGACCAAATGCCAAAACAAACTAACAAGATCTGTGAAACTAAAAATAAGACACAAGCAAAACACTTCCAATAAAAAACCAAAGCACCAACCTTTAACAGTGGAATGTGTATGTCGCTTAAAGTATCATTCGGTGTAAGCAGAGCAGTCTCGAACTCCTCCGCCGAAAACTCCACGTTAATGTTCAAAAGCGTTCTAAAAACCTTCAAAAATATAAAAACGAGAATTCGGAAGTTACTCAGTGTGAGCTTGAGAGTCAAAATTCAAGAAAAACGGAAGAGCCTCACATGCAAGAAATCAAGTACGGAAGCAAGTTCCCACATCGAGCGGAGGCTCCACCGAGGAATCTGCGACGGCTCCGGCGGCGGAACCAGAGACGTCACAATCTTGCTGGAACTCCCTCCCCCGCATTGCTGCTGATTCCCCGGCGACCCATCTTCTCCTTCGTCTTCCTCCTGATCCTCCTCTTCATCCGCCTCCTCTCTCCGCCGTTGCTGATTCCGTCTCTGCTGCGCCTTCTTAGCCGGTCTCAGCCTCCTCTCCGCCGCTTGCAGCTCCTGCATCCGCTGCTGTGCCCTAATAGTGCAGGCGCGTGAAGGGCGCGTTCTCCTTGGCGCTGGAGTATCCTCCAATTCCGGCGCCGGAGCGTCTCCGTCGAGAGAGTGGTGGTTGCCGGAGACATCAGGATCAGGTGAGGATCGGGCAGGAACGATCTCGGGCGCAGAATCCATCGAGAACCCAGGTAATGGACGAGATCGAGAAGGGGCAGAGGACAAGATTAGGGTTTCTCAGAGTTACGAAGAGCTTAGGGTGAAAGGATCAAAACCCTCGAGCATTGAAAGGAAAATCCGAATCGGTTTTAGAGCGAAGAGGGAGGACGACGGAGGTCCAAAAGCGTCGTTGGTGTTCGCGAAACGCCGTCGTTTTGGTCGGGAGAAGAAACTCTGGCAAGGGAAAGGAAACAACGAGTGAAATAATTTTAATGTTTTTAGGGTCAGAAAAAACAGTGAAAACGAGGGAGAGAGGAAATTTGGGGAAAAGGGTTTGAAGAGCGAGAATTATGGAGCATTTTATTTAGTCAAAGTATATTTTCCAAAAAATATCAAAAATTATAATATATATATATATATGAATTTTATTAAAGAAATTTCTGTCAAAATTAATGTTAAATACATATTCACAATGATTTTTGTGGTAGCTAATAGTTTGATGTGTAGATTTTCAAGTTGATTACATAAAATTAAGTCGAATTAAATTAAATATTGTATGATTATACTAGATTTCAAAATCAAATAAATTAAAATGTATTGATTATTACAAAATAATAATTAAATTTAATAATTTTAGAAATAGTTATTTATCTCAATGAAAATTATATTGGAAGTAAACTGAAAGATAATTTAAACATATATTTTAAATATAACTTAAAAACTAAATACAAATATTTTTAAAATTTCAAAAATAATAAAAACTTGAAGTCTACTCCCTAGTATCTGGGTGTAAAATGGACGGGTCGGGCCGGGTTCGGACCGGGTTCAATTCGGGCCTAGAATTTTTCGGGCGGGCCGGCCCGCCCATTTATTTTTCGGGTCTAGGATCGATGGCCCGGAGCCCGGTCCTACAGGGCTTCGGGCGGGTTCGGGCCGGGCTTCGGGCTTTTTATTAAATAATTTTTTTTTGCGATAATAATAATAATAATAATAATAATAATAATATGAAACATTTGAACAAATATAATATAAAAAAAAATTATATGATGTAATTAATTTAAAACCTATAGAAAAAAATCAATATGTTCATATACAAATAAAGGTTTAAAAATATATATATTTGAAAACTTCTACCCTTTCTAAAATGTAAACTTATATATATTATATATGATATAATATGGTTAAGAAATTCAAAATTCCCGTCACTTTAAAAAGTTTAATTGGAACCAAGATATAAAAGTTCATCATTTGGTTCAAATATATATATATATATTTAGGCACACATATTTATAAGTATAGAGAGGTAAAACTTTGGTTTAGAAAAGAAGGTTAGAAAAAACAAAAAAAAAATTAACGGGCCTCAAGCCCGGCCCGAGACCCGACTGGTCCGGCCCGACCGACCCGTAGCCCATTTGGCCCGAGGCCCGAAAGCCCGAAGTTTAATGAGCCTACATTTTTTAGGCCCATGTCCTTATAATTTTCGGGCGGGCTCGGACCGGGTTTCGGGCTCCGGACTTAATTGACATCCCTACTAGTATCTAGTTTGTATACACTATCCTGCTCCTCTTAATCTTATAGATTTATTTATATTCAATTATATATTTTGAATATATCTTTGGAGTTCCACCCAAAATAATAGATTTTCACATGTGGGTTTCAAATATTCTTATGTTTTCACGTCATTAATCAAGGGGAAAATTCAATTTTCTCATATACTTTTATCGGTAGTTAACGTTTGTAAATATAAATTTATAATTTTAAATTAATGATATTTTATCATTAAAAAAAACACAGTCAAACTTCACAAAACAACAATAGTATATCCTGGAGCTAACCTATGAAAATTTGAAAATTCAAAGAGTTATAAAAAATAACGACACAAAAAAAAATTAAAAATACAAATTTTTATCCATGTGATATTTCTTCAAAACAAAATATTCTTCATACCCAAAATATTGATTTCAAATATCTAATATATTTCATAATATAATTTGTTATATATTGAAAAATAGAAAAATAAATCAGCTACAACTGCATTTATTTATGAATTTTTTAAGTGATCCGTATAAATTAACAAATGAATTTCAATACATTTCGTTTAACCATGGAAATAGAAAACCGACAAATGTAGATTTGTATTTAGTTCCATATATCTTTGAAATGTTAGAGAAGTTTTATACATAAAATTTATGTGAAATATAAAGATAAAGAATCCAAAAGTAGAACTATATTCAATATAATCAAAATTAACTCAATGTTATTTTTTTTAATAATATTGTTACTACGTTAAGATAGCATCGCAAAATCTCGTTGTTTAATGAAATATGGTAAAAATGGAAGGACTATGCAAATTATTTGTTTATAAAAAAAATATGGTAAAAATTCACGTCATAAAAAATGGGGAAAAAAAACTAATCACATACATATATACATACATACATATACACAAATATACACATAAATATACACACCTATGTCTATACACAAACATATATATACACATTTACACACACAAATATACACACGCATACACACGATTGTCCACCTCCCCCCCCCCATATCTACAAGTTTGTATATATATATATGGGGTTATACTACACATACATATATGCATAATACCCACAAATCTACATGCTTATATACATATGTATATATATGTGTATATGCGTGTGTGTATATATATGTATTTATTTATAAAATGGTAACGAAATTGGGATTGGGTTGTTGTGTGCGGTAACTATGGGTCGTTAAACATGTCTAGACAACGCAACAGCTTTACCAAAAACAACAAAATTGTGTTGCTAATGTCATTCATTTTCTTTGTCATTATTATAACTATTTTGTTATAGGGTTAAAATTATAATATCTTCGAATTCTTCTTTTACTTATTCGTCTTCATCATCGATACCATAATCTTTTTTTTATATAGATATTTTCTGATTCAATAAGTGCAACAAGTTGATCAGTGGAATAATTGAATATTCTTGTTTTGATATATGGAATTGAATTCAACGGAATAATATATAATTAATTCCAAAACGGATGCGATGTAAAAACCGGTTCATCATATGATATTTTCAATTAAAAACCGAATCAAATCAAACCGAGACATCTCAACCGAACTGATTTATTGAATAATTTATCGGTTAACCGATTTTATTCTATTAATAACCGAATGGAATCGAACTCGAACAGTTATTCCCCCTGCATAACCAATCGGCTCTTATAATAACCGAACCGTACCAAAATTCTATAATTTCGTACGGTTCGGTTTTAAGGTTATTAACCGAATTTGCCACCCCTAGTTTCAATGAATCATGCAAGATCAAGTGGTTTGAGGTTCACATTTGTCAAGTCCTGCAAGAAAATTCTTTTCCTAACCAAAAAAAAAAAACTTTGACTTTCTTCCATTTTCTTGCACAAATATAATTTACATAAAAGGGTCAGTGAATGTACCTCGAGCCATAAGAAAGGAGGGAGGGATCAGGCAACAGCTGTACAAACGGCGAAGGCACGTCCTTTCCGTACTGTACTCTATCGGGGATGCATCCTCTTAACAACGATTTGTCTGTAAAGCATCCTTGTTCGGAAGAACAGCAAACAGGCGACGAGAAAACCCAAGAAAGCAACAGACGCCATGATAATAAAGGACAGCATGAAGCAACGGGAACCATAGCAAACGTTTCCCTTTCCAGATGCATTCTTGTCGTATATATACCCGATTAATCTTACGGAGAAGATATACGATCCAATAGGACTGGCAATGGATATGGAGTTGAAGATGGTACCCATGTGCCGAACCCCGAATAGTTCAGACGTGATCGTGGGCATCAGCGACCATTGAGAACCGTAACAAACACCGACGATGACAGAACCAACGTAGAGATTTCCTCGAAAACCGGAAGCTATGATTAGATGGCCTATGCTCATAGTTGCAAGAGGGCCAGCCATTAACAACGGCCGTGGCCATCCATTTCTGTGTAGCAATAAATCAGAAACATAACCAGCTCCAAACCGACCGAGAAAGTTCCATATACTCCACAAGGAGACCAGTGAATTTATCTCAACAGCAGAGTATTGAAGAGACTCCCCGATTTGCCGAACGTTGTTTATCGTTGAAAGACCAGAGCCCATTCCACATATCATGGCAAGAAACAACAACCAGAAATCTACACTACCCATAGCTTGCAGGAGATTCAAGCTCTCTTCACCATAACCACCATCTGTTTGGTTACCGTCACCAAGGATCGTTGGTTCGGGATTGCTTATCAGAGGAGAATGAACAAGAGATAATGATTTCTCTGCGGATTCTCGACGTGCTCTTCTCGCAATTAGAAGTGGCGAGGCAAGCAAAACGAGTAGACATGCAAGTGTGACAACATTGGCCCATATTGACAAACCAAAGGTGTTCTTCACAATAATGACGACCGTAAGGTATGCAGCAGTGATAAGAGATATGGCTGAAAGACCATCTAAATGCTTCTTGTCAGTGGCCGTGCTTGTCTCATATATCCTAACAAGAGGCATGACCAAGAGGGAGAGAAGGGTAGGTGCAATGGCCAGGAGAAGAATGAAACTCGTGGGATTTCCAACGCATACTGTCTCATACAGTTGAATCAGTATTGCTCCGCTCAGACCAAGAAAGCCCTGTAAAGAGAGGAATCAAGAAATATACCGCTCAAGCGCTACACATACACACACATTTTGATGCTTCACTAAAATGATCAACAAACTGCAAAAGCAACATAATAAACTGGCACCAAATATCTTCAAAGCCTGAAAGACAATCTTCTCACTGAGCATAGAAACATAATGACAGCATTTCAACAACTCCGAGAAAAATGAACCGCTAAAGATTGCTTCTGTTGTCTATGGCACGACCTTGAACAGAAAACTATCCAAGACATTATGGTCAAAACCTGAGAGTTGGGGGATTTATCTCGTAAAAAACTACAAAATCACCTTTCAGTTCTGTAAGCTTTTTTCAAGATCTATAATTGTAACCCACGGATGCAATACTGGGTTGCAAATGTATCATCAGTTCATAAAAGTTTCCACGACAAATATCATCATTCAAAGAACATCATCTACAAAGCAAAAGAGTTCTACCTTGAATCAATTAGTTCCCGCAACTACCAATAACTAAATTCTTAATAAATAAAAAAACTAGAAACCTCAACAGTTGCAATGTCATTGAAGTCAAGCGGTTCAAATGCGCAAAAAACCTGGAGATTCTGCTCTCAGAAGTCAAGAATTTGCATCATCTTCTGAAGATGCACCCCCCAAAATAAACATATGAAATGACAATTTTTCCTACGCAATCCCTACGCCCTTAACCCGAATGAAAACATTTGAATCCCAGTGACTGGGGATATTTCAACAGTTGAGTTCAACGCTTATATCTTCCCAGGTTTTGCAATTTCCCAGGCTCTTGTACTTTACCACCAATCATATCAAACGTTTGGAGCCCAAGAAATCGATCGTTTCGTGGCCCAACGACGCAAACCAAATAAAATCTAATCAGTGGAAAATTCAAAGTTGTTACAATATGAGACATCACCTTCATGATTCCGACGGCGGTTCCACCGTAATCCGCGAAATTCTCGACGGCGGTCACGACGGTGGCCGTGTTAAAGAAAGTCTGAGACTGCGCCGCTAAGAACATGAAGAAATACCCGGCAAAGCTATGAATCGCTCCGACGAAGAGCACCACCCACGGCCCTCCTCTACCCCCCCGCCACGGGCACGACGGCTATTGGAGGTCACAGCTGTGTAAAGGAGGCCGGAGAAAACTCCGGCGTTGGCTCCGATGTCCTTGAAGACGGAGACCGTGTCGAGGGTTGATTGATCGTACGATTGGGTCGATTTGAGGACGGAGGAGTAGATTCCGAAGGTGTAGGAAGCGCCATTCGTGCACTGAATCCATATGCTCGCCGCCGTGGCCACCCACTTCGAGCTTAGCCGCTCCGCCACCCTCATTTTCCGCCGTATGTCGCGGGAGAAATCTGTCCAAGTTTTTTTTATTTTGGTTTGAGGTTTAAATTCGTTGGGATACGTACACGAATGTTTCAACGTGTAGACTGTAGAGTGCATGATGCCGCATGGTTTAGATATTTTTCACTCTTTTTTGGATTATGGATAAACTTGAAGTTATTTACCAAAAAAAAAAAACTTGTGCACTTGTAGTTATATCGAACTTTATTTAAATAGAGTTAAATCTATTGGAAATTTGGAATACGTTAATTTTAAAATTAAATTATATTAATCTTAATAAAAATGAAACAAATAAAATTTAAATAAATTATGAAGTTTATTTAAAATTGTAAATATTTATTACTTTCATATGAATAAAGCAATAGTTGAATATAATAATATATGTATTTATATATAAAAGTCGTTGGGATATCTTTTTAAAAATATTTAAAATATGTTTAGTAGATAAATATTATGTTTTACACAAATTAATGAAAACCAAACAAAATGCCACGTAGAGTTTTATATATAGAGAGATATTTAGGTGGACCTACTAAATTGCTCCAAATAAAATTTTTATATATATATATATATATAGATATGGAGAATAATAATTATCTAATATGTGATTCATTGGTATTAAAGTCCAATAAAAAATAAAATTAAATATATATATATATATATATATATATATATATATAA